AAGTACAACTTTGTGGAAACAGTAAAACTCTGATTTTCACATCAGGAATATCTGTGCTGTAAGACTGTAAGTGGAAAAAAAGTAATGCAAATGATTATTCATTGTTCCCTGTAGTACAAGAAGGGGAGGGACAGCTAGTGTAAGGAAAACACATTTTTTAAAAGTTCTTTTTCATATATCATAATTTTTCTTGCCATAGAGCTTTTCGAAGGTCAGGCTGATAAACTAAAAATGGAGTTCACACAGGGTAAGACTATTAAACATGATAAAATGAATGCAAGCTCTAAAGCTGGAAGTTTGGGAATTGTAAACTTCTGAGAACATATCAATAATCCATCTGTACTTGTACCCTGTTTTCAAGTGTTCACTGTTGCTCATTGGTGGAGAATGATACTTTGCTAAACTGACTTTCAGATATTGCCAAGGCCATTCCCTATTTCCTGTGATGATAAAAATTTGGGCCTCATCTGTAAGTTCAAGGTACTCAAAGGTAGTAAAGTTGTTAATGATGTCTGGTTGTCTTGCTGCAGTTCTGGATTGAGAGTCCAGTTTTCCTAAATAAGAATGGGAGTAGCTTTGCTCACAAAAAAAACCTCAGAAGCTATCTGAAGGGTGCATTGCCTAGACCAGCAAAAAATTTGATAGAAACAATGGTGGCAGTGTAAAACCATCTGTAGATAGCTGCCTGAAAAGACTTGAAAAACTACAAAGAAAAGAAAACAAAGCTGCATAATTTCTGACTTATAGGATTCTTCAAAATCTTCATATTTTATGTAAAGTTCGCTATTACTGGGGGTTCATTTCTGAACATCTTTATTAAATTTTCACAGGTACAAGATTTTGAAGAAGTCAGGGAATTGGTGGCAATATTTCATATTTAATTTTGCTCTCTATGAAGACAGTAATAAAGGTCCTGTTGGTTTTAGCTGGAAGAAGCATAACCCAGTGATGCTGTTGTAATAAAGAAGCTTTGAGTACTACTTAATTATAGATGTCACAGTATAACTTTTAACTGTGCAGTCCTAATTATGTAACCTTTTTAAAGGTATTTCTCTTACTACTTTTTAAAATTAGGCTCAAATATTTTTTGTATAAATAGATATCTTGCTGGTATTTTACTAATTACTGAGGGAAAGTAACTTCTATAACTGGTTTGGGTGGATATTTTCAGCTTGATAGTAAAAATCTCTTTGCAAGTAATAAAATCCTCATTATAATTTTGAAACACATTTCATGACTATGCTCCACTGCCTGTGAAGTTCTCTATGCTTTAACAGCATGAGTTACTGGAATTGCTCAAAGACATCAGTAATAGAAATGCTTTGTTCCTTGCTGGAATTTCAGTTCATCAGCCAAGCCGAATTACTGCTTTCTCCAGGCAAGTTTTTGAAAAGACGTTATTCCTAGCCTACACCCTGTCTGTCAATACAGGATGAAATTGTCATTCTAAAATAATTACTTGTACAGTGGAGTGGTGCTTTCTTGCATACAGTGCAATGAAACCTACTTGCTGCTGGAAATTGGGACTAGTAACTTAAAGAATACAAACAGCTGTCTTTACCACGCAATCATCCATGATAAATGGCAGATGTAGTGGATGAAGAAATGTTATTTTTACCTATTTGTCAAAGCCATGTCCTGGTTTATTAGACGTCTAGATTTCCAGAGAAGATGAGATTTGTCTACATACCAAGGTTGATGAAGAGATGAGTTATGGGATGTGTTAACATGACTGTAGATATCACAGGCTACATCTTCATGTATGCTTCAGGGCATTGGAATCTTACACACTTGACAGTCTGAGCCAATTTGCAGCTCTAAGTGAGACCTTCAGGCTCCTTTTCCAAAATTTGAAATACTTTCGAAGGCACTCCTGAGATACTGTCTGAGCTGCAACCTGTATAACTCATCCATGAATAAAATGAGGCTTGGGATGGAATTGAAACAGTCTGAGTGTATCTGCATGATTCAGATCTCTTGCTTCAGGTAAGAAGGTATGACTGCAATACAGGACAAGGTCATGAAACGTTACTTGTTCAGGCTCCAGGACAGAGCTGGGATAGATGGTGCTGAACTGAACAGCCGCCTCCCCCTAGGGCTAAATGTACTGCTCCATTTTTCACAGATATGCTGTTTCTGGTTCTGGAGGCAACCAAGTCATCCTTGGCTTCTTACACAGTGCATTATCACGTCATTTAGACACTTACTGAAGTGGTTGAAATCAGGTGCCTCCCTTCTCCTGAATATTAACTTGGAGCTACCTACAATCCAGTCTGCAAATATAACTCGCAGAAGTTGCTCTGTTTAATAGCTAACTCTAGTATTTCCAGAAGGAGTGCGGGAAACTCCTCATTATCTTTACATCCACATTTCTTCAGTTTTGATTAGAACTAATTAATAACTTTTTCCTGCTGTGTGGGAGTAGCAGACCCACCCCTCCCTCTGTTTATGTGCAATACTAAATGGAAACGCACAGGTACTTTCTGCAAAACTACAAGGAACATGAATGCAACTCTGAGTTAGGTCTCAGCATAGGCACAAACCGAATATAAGGTAGCTTGGCAACTTTAGCAGAGCATAACCTTTCATTTGAACGTATTCTTAATTACAATAGTGTGCCTTCTTAGCCTCACAGAACTCAGAGAAAATGCCTTCTGGGGAAGAACCATGCATTTCATTTATTGGATATGTCTAATACAAAAAACCTACAACCTTATGCAAATACTAACCATACTAATGGGGAGATAGCCAGAAATCAGAGAGATTATTATTGTCCTGGTTATAGAAATGGGAAAGAGTTAAAAAGGAGACACTGTAGCCAATAGTTTGGGAGGTACAGCAGGTTATCTGCTTTAACAAAGAGCATTTGTTGTAAAAAAGCAACAGTACAATAAAGAAGCAGACCTCTGATCAAACCTAGTAGTCACTCCCTTATTTATACCTGAAAATTTTATGAATGACTTCCAGAAATGTCCCAGTCTTAGCAGTTTCTGACTGCATCTAGATATCTGTTTCCCATTCTGAACGTCACTGGAGCCATAGACCATGAGAAGTGACACCCTCCTTTGGAGATCCCAAACAGAGCCTGTTCCAACAAAGAGTGGACAGAGAGCCATTTTGCACTTCTAACTCAAAGTCACAGATGTTGCCTGACTTGATTAAAAAAAACCAAAACAATAATCACTATCCTAACCATGAGACTTAAAAAAATAAAAAAAGGTAGCCACCCCACAGCCTTATCCAAAGTCTCATGACCTCCTGCAGGATGGACTGAGAAGGTCCGAGGAACAGATCTCCCAAATCCCCAGAAATGCTGTAACCATCATATTTTTTCCACTCTTTGTATTGGTATTGCTGTTTCCATTCAAAGTGCTGCTCAGTCAGGAAGGGCTCAAGGTTTTGGGTAACAAATGGGAATGTCAGCCTTAAAATTCTGGCCAGGGTTATCAGCTAAACAAGATTGCAAAATTGCACATTTTTACATGGCTATCCACGTTTGCATGATTCCAGTTGTAGCACCTGGTAGTTGGTGCTCTTTTGGAGCATGCCTTGGGTCAAGGCAGGCCAGGGAGGGCTACTCATAGCCATTACAGTACAACAGTGGGGTAGTTCAGCTACACATATGAGTCACAGTGTACCACCACATAGTCAGAAGATGGACCACCACCCATTTTATTTACTAGGTTAGATTACACCCTGTGGCGTTGATAGCATACTTCAATTTAAGGGAAGGCAAGTTAATCCTTTTAATCTCTGTGCTAACATGCAACCCCACTGCAAGCCTCCTAAACTCCAGCTGGGCACAGGAAGACACACAACATTGTGCCCTGCATACCCAACTAAGTAGCATCTGAGTCGTCAGGTGCACACTTCTGCATTGTGACTGACTAGTCCTTCGCCACATTTAATATGCCCTGCCCTTGCAAGTAAAATAAACCTGCATTATCTGCCTGTCACATTCCCACTGCTTTGCTCTGACCAAACACCAAGTTGTAGGTGTTGTGATGTAGTTGTAGGGACTGTGCAGCTGATTTGCTCCAAATCACACTATCACAGAGGAGCCACCAACTACTGTTTTGCAGTTTAGAGATACACAATACAGAAAAGGCAACTTCTGAAACAAAGCCACCCAGCTAAACACAATTCTCTTATAAACAGGGGAAACATAAAAAAGCTACAGAAAGTCTTACAGAAAGTTTTCTACCCTGTGAGACACAAACAGTAACTCCAAATCCCCAGTTTTGTGACGGACAGAACTGTGGTACTGCAATCAATGTAATTCAGACTTAAGCCTCCTAAAGGTGTCTCCACTTGCCCCCATTCTCCCACAGTCTCTGAGCACTCAGAACCATATCCCAAATGTTCTCTTGACTTCAGAACTGAAGCTACATCACTTCAAATACTTTCAGCATTCCATTCCTACAGCAAATTGTTTATTCCACAGTACAATGGTCTGAAAGATTTTTGTTAAGCTGACTAGAGACTGGAATGCCTTGAAACTACTAAGCTTTTCTATCTTCATTTCCCATCAGAAAGCTCATTCATGACAGTTAAGTACTCAGATGAATCAATTCCGAAGCTGTTACAAAGCATAATGTGGAAATGCTCCGAGTCACCCGAGAACTTTAATTTCAGTGGATAAAGGAGATGCTAACTACTGACTGTCTAACACGGTTCTGTATCACCCAGCGGTGTGTGATGCTTTATTTAATGTGAGAACATGCAACAAATAATACAGCACCATATGATTTCTAGAGATCACACGTCTAATGTTTCTTGTTGCTGCACTCTGCATTCTAAAACCTCTCTGGATGATGTCAAATGACACAAAAGTTTAATTCCCTCTTCCCTACCCCCTCAGACTTTAACAAGTATTACTATGATTTTTTTTTCATTAAAAGCCCCAACCGTATTTATACATAACATTCCCCTTCAGCACACGAGAATGCAGAGTGAAATCAAGCAGCAGATGACTCTTCACCACAGAATGAGTAATCATTTATGTTCCAAGCTAAAATAAATGCAAACAGAAAACCAGAAAGCACACTGTTCTAATGTCTTCACTTAGTAACTTACCTTTTTTGTTAATTTCTTTTGAACAAACGTTTTCTAAAAACATTTTGAACCTTACTTGTTTTATTTTTGTTTTCCTTGGAAAGCCTGAAGTGAAACATCTATCCTTTAAACTTGATGTCTTCACTACTTGCCTTTTGCAGTGGCACGGGGTGATGGATATACTTCTTCATTACGTATTCTGGTTTAACCATACAGCTTTTCAAAACGGTCCCCACTAAAATAAGTTGTGGCTCTGGATTTACACTCCCCATCACCATCACTTACAGTTACCAATGAACAATTTCACTTCTAAGCATACACATTTCCCCAAAAGCTGAACTGCTACACAGTTTTCTGTGTTTTTCTTATAACTAGCTCCTTCATTTCAACGGCATCACAGTTGAGCTCAAGTCTGAAATGCAATGCTCCAGCTAGTGCTTATTTTTACTCAAGTAATTACAGAAAAATGTTGACACTGACATTTACCAAAATATTTCAGAGCACAAACACCACCTGCTGAGCTGAATATGAAAATTCATGCCTGCTAGTCTTTCTCCTGAGTATGACTGATTTGACTCATGCTTGACTTTAACAGAATTTCCAGATCTTTGCTAGAGCTATAGTTGGTAGGAAAAATGCCTAAATATGCAGCTGAATTTCTGCTCCTACGCACATATTATTACTTGTCTTTGATGAAAGGATACAGCAAGACATTCTAGACCATTTCACAGTATTCTGTAAATTTAAAACTTTATATGCTGAAGGAAAATTATCTACTAATACATCTGAAAGCCTGCAATGAACTGGTTTCATTTCTTTCACAGACACCTATGAAAATCCCAATTTAGTCAATCTGGACGCTTTTTGCTCAACAGAGTTAACAGCACAGAAGCACTGGTCCTTTGATACTGAAGCTAGAGCAGGAACATTTATCTGCCTTCCAAGAGTCCCACATGTGATTCAGTTACTGGTCATGACCCCGTTGTTTATTGTATATGTGGATCATAAGAATTACTGGAATTCTTATAAATCCCAATTAAATAAAGGGTAAAAGAAAAGCCCACCTGTAATCAGACACTATGTAACTGCATGTTAATAGCCTGTTCAGTGCTCTACTGGGATATCTTAGAGTAATGCTACAGTATTATACTCAATTTCAAGAGGTCAGTAGACATTTTTAAAAGAGTAAAATCTATTTATATAATTACAGTTATGAGTACAGCTCATGCCTTATTCACAGCAAGTAAAAAAAACACACTGGAGTTTATGTAAATATTACTAATGCATACACTATGAAAAAGTAATTCATGTTAATTAAAAAAACCCTTAATTTCGAAAGTTTACCAGAAACAGTTACACTGAGCATTGCAATCTTTCAAAGCAGAATAGAAGTTGTTAACAAGGATCCAGCAGTAATTGATATCCAGCTGCTTGGAGCTGGGCTGCCGATTGAACATGTAGTGAAAGCTGGGCTGAAATCCTGGCAGCAGGAGTCATGCTAGTCTTTCCTATAAGCTGGAATTTCAACCCAGTCTTTACATTCTTCGTTATAGTGAAGCAGCCAGATGATGATGATTAGAGAGTAGCCAAGTAGACTCTCAGTTCTAAAAATCCAAACTTCAAGCATCTGTAAGATCTAGGGGAAGGAAGAGGGAGTTTATAGCACAGTTAAAAGGAGTCTTTCTAAAAATGGGCAAGTGGACATTTCAGCAACAGAGCTGATGGAAAGACACTGCACAGCACTAATAGAAGTAAATCTGAGGTTGAGTCCTTGGTGAAGACACCATCATATTGGCGTTTAACTAGAAAGGAAGGCAAGCACAGCTCGTGAACAAGTAAGCACATGTATGCACACAAGACATTCTAGGAGCTGAACAATTTATCTGCATACATAAAAGACCTTGCTAAGAAAAAAAAAGCAAAGGTTTTTAGCATTTAAGTAATTGCCTACATGAACTTGATTTCAAATCCAGCTTTACACATTCTTGACAAACTGAAAGGCCTCAGCATTGATGATAAAACATTTCTGGCACCAGCTACTGGCTTGAAAGTGAATACTTACAAGAGATGAGTATAGGAAGACATGTTGTCTTTCACTGAAAACGTGTTTTAAGGCAATATCCAAAATCACAATATAGCCACCACAGAAACTGGTCCAGTGATCCCTGATACTTTACAGCACCTACACAGGTTCCACTGCTGCGAAATGGTAGGAGCTAAACTGGTATCTGTGCTACTTCTCCTCCATGCCATGTCCCCTGGAATGCTGGAAATGTCCCAATATCTGTACATCACTAGTTGACATAAAGCAAGAAAATTTCTTCCTACAGCTCCTAAATCCCCCTCTAGCCATTTATATTAGCCACTATCACTGGCCAGGAAATTGGTGAGGAATTTCCATCTTTCCTTATCATTAACCCAATTAAAAAGTTGCTCAATAAGATAGCAAGTGTTTACATAATTAATTTGAATGACAGATTTCTGAACATTTCCCACATGGGAAACAACTTGAACTGGCCTGGCCAGATGTGCTCCTGTAGCACCCAGCTCAGGAATGGTTTTTATTCTTTGCTCTCAAAAAAAGAGTTAATTTACTTGCATTTCCACCAAGGAGTATTTTAGGAATGGAGACAGAAATTTCTGAATATACACTATATCTATAAAAGGAAGAGGTAAGCAGTTTGTTCTCCATTTCCAACACTCTGTGGAACACCATCATCCATTTTTATTAATAGTTATGGCACCAAGTATGCAGCTAAGAAACTGAAGAACATGAAGGATGTTATTAGAGTCATTTTTGGCTAAAGACAAGGAGCAGAACTGCATCGTGACCCTACTTTTTCCATGATTTAAAGGTGTGTTAAATTATACCAAGATTTTCAGGAAATCTGTTATTTGGCTTACACAGTAAGCTATGCCTTGCGCACTGTGTTCTAGACAAAGTTGTATTTTAAAATTATGCACAAAGTTAAGAAACTTTACATGATGCCAATGAGTAGTGTGTGCTTTCATAAGTACAGTAGTATACATCCTATATACAGACGCTGGATGGAAGCCTCCAGGAAGGCTGTTAGCCAGCCATCCACAGAAAGAAGGGAATGAAGATGGTGGGGAGTGTGGTGGAGGGTGCCACACCTAGGCAGACTATTGACGCTAGTCCCACAAGCACTGATGCAAGCACGCTCCTCTGGTCCCGAATAATCATCTTCACAGTCTCACAGAACTGGAAAAAAAAAAAAAAAAGTGCAAAAGATGAGATTTAAAGAGGAAAGCTTTGGCTGCAGAGCTGGTGATGACCACTCTCTCGGAACAGAGCGGCCGCTGCTGCCCGAGCTCTCGTACGGGCTCCCCAGAGGGAGGGGAAGTACTTGGGCCGGCACCCCATCACCTCCAGCATCAGCCCCGGTACTGCCTGTGGCTCCGGCTAAAACCTGTAGCTTCAGAGCATTTTAGAAGCATATTAATTGTTCTACTAATTCAGCTTCGCTTTTCTCGCCTCTTAAAGCCAGCTGAGTCCAGGCTCGCCGCCGTCCCGAGCAGCTCCGCGCCGGCAGCACTGCCCGTTGCGGGAAGAGCGGCGTCAGCGGCGGCTGGGCCGGCGGGCGCTACCGGCACCCCGGCCCGCAGCGGCGGCGGCCGGCCCAGCTCCGGGAAGCGGGGTCGCCGAGAGAAAGGCAGCGCCGCCGCTGGCCGGGCCGTACCTTGTCGGTCTGGAAGCTGACGGGAGCTCCGTATCGGCAGTAGGTGACGAAGTGCTCGCAGTTGTTCCAGAGCAGGCTGTAGGCCGTGGCACCCACCAGCTTCTCCGCCCGGCGGGCCGCCTCCTCGCTGCCCAGCACCTGGTTCTCGAAGAGTCGGTCCATGTGGTTGACTAGGATGCTGCCGCCGTAGGCGAAATCTTCTACCGTGTCCACCCGGACGCTGGCTGTCCTAGCGATGACGCCCAGGATGAGCCGCTTGTTGGTAACCACCTGCTGGATCTGCCGACGGTCGCCGGTGATGGAGGGCAGGATGTCGGGCATCATGTGAGCGACGCGGTTCTCGCCCAGGTAAATGCCGAAGTGAATGAAGAGAGTGCGGGGCACCTCCAGCAGGTCTCCTCGCTTGAAGCAGCTGGTGTCGTAGTAGCCGGGTGCAGGCGGCGGCGTTTCACCGCCGGAGCCCGCGGGCAATGGCCGGATGTGGACGAGGAGCATCAGCTTCTCCAGCAGCAGCGAGGCTGCCTGTGGCACAGAGTTCTTCATAGTCGGCGGAGGAAACCCTGGATGCCTCCACGCAGCTCCTGGCCCCCAGCACCGCTTTTCTAGGCTACCGGCGGGGCGGGGCGGACACCGGGGCCGGCCCACTGGGTGAGGGGCGAGCGGGGAGTGCCCGCCCCGAGGACCGGCTGGGCTTTACTGAGGGGGCGCGGCGGGCACCCTCAGCCTGCCTGGCGCCCTCGCTTGAGCCGCGGCTCGGCCGTCGGCATGGCGCGGTTCCCGCAGCCGGGAGCCACCCGCAGCTCCGCCCCGTCTACGGCCCGCGCTGCCCAGGTAGAAGTACACGGAAAAGTGCGGGTAAAGCCCTTCACCCGCCCCGGGAGAGCAGTGAGGGCTCCTGGGGCCATAGCCGCTTCGTGCACCTTCCCCCGACGGCGGGACCTTAAGGGGCTCCGAGTGCCCGCCCAGGCCGTCGCGAGGGGCAAGCGGCGACCCGCTCGGATCTATGGGGGAGGGAGGGCCGGGCGGGCTGCCACGGTACTCGCACGGCTGCTGGACAGGGGAAGGAATGTCTCTTCCCTGAAAGGAAACAGGTCTCCGAGGGAGAGCGGCAAGTCATTTATAAATTAATTCGCCCCAAAGGTCCGCCAGCTAAGAGTGGAAACAGCGGAGCGTCATTCTCGTGCTTTCAGTTTCATGCTAATCCATTATGCAAATAGCTAAATCCCGGCAACGGAGCCCACAAAAGAACAACCCTGTCAGGTTGCCGCCCCGATTGGGCCTCGAAAGTTTCAGTAACCACGCAGGTTCCCGCCCCCTCGGAGATGGTGGGATGATGGATAGGACAGACATTCATCTTACCTGGAAGATGACACAGCGCGGAGTAGCCGTGGCTGCAGCCTTCCACCGACTCCCCGCCGCCGCGGATCTTTGTTCGTGCCGCTGCCGCCCCGGCCCGGCGCTGTCACTCCGGCTGCAGGGGGTGGGGGAGCTTTCGCCTTTGAGAAACGCGGAACGGGCGGAGTGAGGGGGAAGGAGGAAGGGGCTATCTATGCGTGTAAGAATACTGGAGAAGTTCGGTGAAGCGTCTTACTTTAAACTCGGGCAAACACTGCAACCTCAGGCTGCCAAATACGAAACGGGGAAGCGGGAAGAGGACCGCTGGTGTGTAACAGTTTGGCAGCTCTCCATAGGCAAACCGCGTTAAAACAATAGGTTATTTTTCTCTCCTCAGTCACTTAAAACTGTGGAACACGAATGAGATCTCTAGACCACCCCAGAGCTGCAGAATCCCTTTGGTCACACCAGCAAAAAAGAGAAAATGTTCACTATCCCTTTTCTTTCCATTAGCAAACAACTCTGGTATGATTTGGAAGACAAAGGGGATGCCAAGGACCCCGCAGGTAAGAGCCTTTTACCAACACAGATACTGAACCCAGGTTCAGGATCTTGTAAACATGGAAGCTTACTGATGAACCAAAAGCAAGTTTTCTCACTTCCTCAGTAAAGAAAATATTTCAGGGGAAGGGGTTACCTCACTACTTGTCAACAAAAAGTGATGGCTGGTACCCTTCCATTTCCTCCTGCTTGGAGCAGAGGGCAGCTTCCTGAGAAGCTAAGACTATCCTCACCTTGCTTCGTGTTCAAAAAAAGGGGTCCCGCATAACCTCTTGTTCAGCTGCTGATTACAGGCCCGAGTCCCAGCACTACTTAACAGAGTGATCAAGGCTTTGGGATTTTCTCCAGAGTCTCAGCCAAATTTTTATGCAACAGAGACTTACCCCTCTCAAGCCCCCTACTTCAAATCACATCACTTACAAAAGAGAAAATACCTTTTAGATGTAGCTTATGATGCTGGTACAGGAACCCTGTGGATTAGCCACCAGTCACACATGATTATATAATTAAACCAGCATATTTTCAAATCCAGATGTTAAAAATGTATTTGGAAGGTTTGAAACTTCTTCTACTAGTAAATAAAAATGGTGGGAGGAGGAGAAACTTCTCATTTTTAACTTGTGCATTTTTTTTAATGGATGAGGGAAAAAGAAGTTCAAACACCTCATCCTGATTAAGGCTCTCACCCATTTGGTGATGGTCACAGCAGCTGGTCCAGAGCTGGAGGCACAGATTGTCAGACTCCACAAAAAGTCCTGGCACAGAAAGGTTCCTGTCTCCCTCCTGTGAGGATAAGCGCCATTCCTGCCCTGCACTGCTGTCTTAAGATTCCCCCTCTCCTCTTCCCTAAAAGTGTCTAGGGAGTGTCTGAATGGTCTTTGCTGAAATAGGTGGTAGAGATGCTTCAGTCCTACAGTTCAGGTTTCTCTTCCCTGTCCAAAGGAAGGTAGAGGAATTCAGCTGAACTCCTTGGCAGATACAGACACTTCCCAATGGGATCTTTCACATGGAGGCGTCCTTTGCTTTCTTCATGCCAGTTAGCTTTAATCCCAAAACCACCAGGGTCCATTTCAACTAAATCTGGAAAGGAAACCAGGATGAAAGTGAAAAGGAATTGCCATGAGAAGGAGACTCAAAGTCTTACTGCATGGGTGGGTCTCAGAGCAGTAAGCTGAAAAGTGAGACATTTCTGCAGTGTAATTTCCTCATATCTGAGGCACTGAAGGGCTTCCTTTCTCCCTCCCCCCGCAACCATTCATTCACTCCCTCTCAGGCCCAGAAACCCCAGTGAACAAGCCCAAAAGGCATTACAGAGCAGACGGAATTCTGTGGAAATGGATTCTGTAGAATCCACCCAGGTAATGCTTGGCCACTACCTTCCAACTCTTGTGAGCATCACTGTGTGCAGAGAACTTAATACAACACATCAAAATAATTCCTAAATGAAACCATCCAGATTCTTGAAAAGCAACCTGCAACCTAACATTTTCTGCTTTCAAACCCAAGGGGGGGCTGCATCTCTATTACTGTCAAACTTCAAAAGTGCAATGTAAGGTATATTTATCATAATTTTTCATCTGAAAGAGGGAAGAAAACATGTTCTTTAGTGGAAAAACATCTCTACTGGAGATGGCAAAACTGAAAAATATACACTGTGCATCAAAACACTGGCATATCCTCTTGGGTGACTTTTGTATAATAGCTTTTATACCCTCAGTACAAAAATGACTTTGGAATATTAAATATAAACCCAAAAACATTGAAGAAGTATTTGTTTGGACTGTTAACTATTGAGGAATAATTTAATGATGAAACCCATGCCTTATTTTTGAGACTAGGCTGAGATGAAGCAAGAAAGCTGTGAGAGGTAAGAATGGAGCCTTTGTTTAGTAGTGCAGATGAGCCAAAGTACAAAAACTCAAGTAAGAGGTGTAAGCCAGTTTCCATTACATTGAAACTCCTGTATTAGAAAGAACCTTATTTTATGCACTAGACATTACTATTTCTATCCTGCTCTCACAGCTAACACAGGAAGGAAACACAGTAGGGAAAAGGCAGGAAACGTGGGGAATTGGAAGGGTATGTTCTTGCCTATATGAGAAATAGACCTGGTTTAACAAGCAGGCAAAATGAATTTTTTAACTAACTGAAGTTAAACCAATGCTAACAGCATACATGCTCACCTTTGTGTATAATTTATATTTTACCAAACCTCTCTCAATGACTCAAGCTTTACTTTCAGATCATCTGGAACTGCTGAAATAAGCATTGTTTCATGAATTCAAAACATGTTATGGCATTCAAGGAGAATAACAGCTTTGGATAGGGATTCTTGGAGGGTATAATTTGCAAGAAAAGTATCTGAAAATCAATGCCATTTGGTTTAAGCTAGTGTGCTGAAAGAAATAATGGACAGAAAACATGTTTGTGAAGGATGGTTTCATAGAATTCAAAAGGGCTACTCCAGAGATAAAAAATAACACCTTTGTATTCCCATATCCAATCATTTGAACACTGTACCATTCCTTTCAGCAAATTACAGCTTCCATTACAGAGCTGAGACCAGCTCTCCAGAAAACAGTATCATTTACTTTTTTGGTTTTTGTATTTAGAAAGACTAGGGACAGAACAGACAAAATCTGAATAAAGGGAACTGGCAAGACAATGCATGAAATTGCAGGTAAGTGAAACAACCCCAAACAAAGAACCTCTGAACTACATATCACTCTCTTCCAGTAGAAGAAACCACATAAACGAGTAAAACAAATTTATACTTTAGAACTGTTCACTTTTATTCAGAAACTTACACATTTCTAGAGTCACTTAAGCAGCATATTTAGTGAACTGCAAATATTTACTGTAGCCTTTTTATCCTTGTAGGTTTGCTACTGAGGTCTGTCATTTTTTCTTTTTTACTTCCTCTCAATAGACTTCCAAATTACTAAGAAAGGTTTTCTAACAAACAATGACTGTAAACATATTAAAACCTGCATGCCATTTCCCCTTTAAAGTTATTAACATGGCTATTTTTCTGCAATGAAGTAATGACTCATTTTTTACAGCCTGACAATCATGTTGTACACATGGATAGTGCCTATGACTTGCTCAGGCGGTACTTTTCTAGATGAATAAAGCATTTATTTATGGTACCTTCAATTCAAATGAACAAAACCACAGAAAAGATGGGAACAATTCATTGCATAGTCCTCATTAGTAAGCAAGAATCTAGGGAATGAATAACAGTGACGGACAGCACTGGAAATTTAGGAACTAACATACAGGTTTGGTGGCAATTAAAAAGATACTTATTTCCATAATTTTGTCTGATATTAGTAATACCTCATTTTGCCAGCACTAAACAATTAATACAATCTCCCCAAAATAAACAGAAATATTAATTTCTGAATATAAAATGCCTGAACATGTGGAGTAATATTTTTATGGCTTCTGCAGAGAAAATACAGTTATCAGAATTTCCAACTTGCTATTGTCCCAGGAAGTATGATATAGATTTTTAAGTTTCTCCTTAATGAGATTAAGAAGTTCGGAAGTATCCCAATTTGAACATGCTAATCATATTGTGAGGGAAGGGAGATGGAGAGGTGGTAAGTGGGAGTCAGAAGAAAAAGTATACTGCATTCAACATGGCTTTCATTCACAACAGAAGACATCATTTTGTGGGAAGGGCAATCCAA